ATTGATATAATACATTTATATATATATATGCACATGTATGCATGTACATATATATGCATATCTGTATCCGATTATTAATTATTATCAAATCATTAATTATTATGCAATTTTAGTTTAGCATCGAATCACTAAGTCCTTTAACCCCTCAGTTAGCTGAGTAAATTTTCCAGCTGAACTCAAGACAAAAATCAATGTTTTATATCGGCGAATAATAAAAAAGGCTTGCTCTTGCTACACTGAATTGATTTTAAAAAGATTTAGCCACTCTTCAAATCAACCAACTTAATCTCTCTCACTTTCCATTTCTTTCTCTTTCGCTCTCTCACCCTCCATATCTATCTACCTATAATAATTAATAATTTTCTTTACCTGTCTCTCTCTCTCATCATCAGTGAAATTGTATCTTTCTCTTTTTATCACTCTCTCTCTCTTTCTCTCTTTCTTAGAGCATTATCTTGTCACTTATTTCTTTCCTCCGAGCTTTTCCTTTCATTGTCTTCTCTCGCCTTTAGTTACACTATCGTCTCTATTTCAATATTTCTCAGTCTCTCTGTCTCTCTATCGCTCCCTATCTATCTATTCCTCTCATAATTTTTGCCTCTTTGAATTCTTCTTCATTCATCTTCTTCTGCATCTCTCTTCCTGCCTCACGTTCTGAAGCCTATGCAAGTCCAACTCAATTTTCAAATAGATCAACCAATTTATAGATCTGTCTCCGCCTCTTAGTTTGCTTGCCTCCCCATCTGCCTCTCTCTCTTTCTCTCTCTCTCTATCTGTCGGCCCCATGAACCCACTCTTTCTGACTGAACCTGAAGTGTCGATAATTAAGCTTTGTCGCATTGCATGCCACAATTGCTGAGTAGTTCAAATAAAACTCGAAACATAATTGACAGTCGCTCATTTTTTTCTTGTTGTTTTTTTTTTGGGTTTTTTTTTTTTTGGTAATCCGAAACTGGAACCTCAGCTGCTGATGCTGCTGCTGCTGCTTCTTCATCTTCATCTTTATCTGCTTCTTCTTCTTTGTGTTTTTGGGCAACTTTCGCACTTGAAACGCTCCACTTGAGTGTTAAAGCGATAATTGAATCATTTGTCGGCCACTCGACTACCACACTGACAACTCGAGGCACCCTGTATGCCGGACATAACCTTAGCAATGAAAGCAATTCAAATGAACGACTAGCATATACCTCAGAAGAAATAGAAATGGCTGCGTCTCAAATGCAGCTTAACAAACCCATCTGCGAGGCAGACACTCCTACTGTTCTTACAGTGACTGTCAAACTGTTGTGTCTAGACGGGTATATAGGTTTGCGACAATTTCTGTATCTCTTTGTATGCCACTTTCAAACTGATTTGATCTGTAGCTGTATTATAAACACTCTTCATCTCTATGCATATATGCATAATACCCGCTTGCCCATTGGCCTACAGGGTATTTACAATGAAGGAATAATTTCAGGTATGTTTTGTTAAGCGCTGTGAGAATCACACGTCAAAATATTTGCAAAACAAAGCTGCTAGTTGAAGGACAAACGGCTTAAGGACATCCACACATACACATACACACACACAATCGCACACGCACACACACACACTGGCTTGGAGTGTAGCCAAATGATCGCCAGCTGAAAGTTGTTGTTGCTGCCTAATATGAAAACTATGCCAGCATATCGAATTACCAGTTAAGCACTCATTATCATCATCATCGTCATTATTATATTTGCTAAAATCATTAGGAAATTCAATATTTATATTTTGACAGAAATGAATTGTATTTGAGATTTTCGTATTTTCTTATTGGCATTGTCTACCTCTCCTACTCCTCCTCCACCACGCACTAATTGCAAAGTTAATTAACAATGAGCGCATAGAAATATGGGAAATTCGCATTAAAAATGCCAAAGCCGTGAATCATGCACATTCCCTAGTTCCCCTATCCCCTTCCCACACTCCACATTCGCATCGAGCGAGGATCGCACAACCTGTGCAGGAAAATATCGAATTACGCCGCGACGCATTCTCGAGCTACGCAGTTAAACGCGATCGTTCGTGCGCTCGCTCGCTCCCACATTCCAGCCAATCGAGTGCTAGGCACTGGCCGTCTCCCTCTCGCAGCCAGCCACGACAGAAGTCTCCAGACTGCGTGGCCGCTGCCATAGACAAAGAGTCGGCGACGACAACGACAACGACGACGAAGTTATGTCGTGAGAGCGCGACTCATTGCTGTAGCTGTTGTTGTTGCTGCTGTAATTGTAGCTTTGGCATTTCGATTGTTTAATAGACTTGCGGCGAAAAAAGCTCGCGCGTGGGCTGACGTTTCAGTTGCTCTGGCGGCTGCTAATGGCGCGTGTGGGCGTGAGAAAAACCGTTTGAAGCGTCGCGACGCTTCATCGGTAATGACAAAAGCCCCGTTGTGTTTTGCCAAGTGCCTGCCAATTGTTGTTGTTTGTCATTGTATTGGAGTATGTCATGATCAGCTGGTTGCAATGCTTGAACAGTTACTCTCGGCCATTATCATGGCAGGAGCTCTGTAACATTTTAATTAGACGGCTGTTTTAGTAGTGGTGCGCCCCACAAACAAACATGTGCAGCAATAACAATAACAACATCCAACTGCTACATATAGTTTTTACAACTCCTCCTCAGCTCATTTGATAAATTTTGTGTGATTTCTTTTCTACTTTATTTTCTTTTTTAATTTTTTGCTTTTTAGCTATAAATTGGCGTCCTTCATTGAACGAGCCGAAACTTGCCGCTGCCGCAGATCCCACCCCATTAACGGCCGCAGCGACAGCAGCAGCAGTGGCAGCAGCGACAGCGGCAGTGGCAGCCAGCACCATACACAATACAAAATGGGCACCACGCACACACACACATGCAAATGTTCACCAACACCTGTGCAGCTCGGCGCACGCACACAAACAAAACTGGTCGAACGACTGGAAGTTTTCCAGCACACTGGAAGTACTGTGTGCGTTAGAGCGGCTCAGCTAGACACACGCTTACGAACAGCAGCTGTGCCGCTCGCACACACACAAAATTGTTGCGCACATGCGCCATGTTGGGCTTAATCGCTGTGCAGGGGAAATTGTCGTTCGTAAGCGCACGCCGTCTGATCGAATGTGTGTGAGCGGCACAGCTAGTGCTGTGGCAGTGAACAGACGCCGCCCCTGAAGCTGGCGTTGGTTTACCGTTGCGCAGCGGCGACGCGGGCAGTGCAGTGGCAGCGCTGCGACGACGACAGCGTCGGCAACGTAGCTGCCAAGGATCAAGTCAGGCTAAAAAATCCCGTTGACGTTGCCGTTGCCTTTGCCTTTGCCGTTGCCCGTGCAAGTTGCATGGCACCGTTGGATGGACCGCTCAGCGACTTTCTAGCCAGTATGTCCCAACCACCAAAGCTGGGGCAGGCATCGACGTAGACGACAGCGACGACGACGACAACAACGACGACGACGACAACGACGACGGCGGCGGCGACGGCGATGACGATGGCGATGGCGACGACAAAACTCCTGCTGCACATTAAGTCAGGCAACAGTTTAACGTGGAAATTATTGCGAATTTGTTGTGTGTTTTTGCGACAGGCGACACAAGCGACAAACAAGAAAAAAAATAAAAGCAACGCGGGATAAACGCGAGCGAATTGCCAGCAATAACAACAACAGCAGCATCAACATCAACAGCAGCAACAGCAACAATCATTTTTTTAGTGTTAAGTGCAGTTATACTCGATTGTTATTGTTGCCGGCCTACAGATAGCAGTAAACACACACATACAGTCACACACACATAGCCACACACACTCATAGACGAACAAATAACACACGAGCAGCCGGCATATTAGCTCAGAGAGAGATAGCGAGCGAGAGAGCAACAGTCAGAGCGCCAAAGAGAGCGCAAGTGGCCAAAGCTTTGAAATACCGTTTTAATTAAAAGCAAACAAAACAAAACAAAAGCAACAAAAGCCGAGTCAATTTTCGATTTTGCGAAGCAAACCAACAACATATTAGCAGCCACTTCGAGTTCGAATTCGAATTCGAATTCGCGGCAGTTACTAATAACTAATTAAGAGAGAGAGAGAGAGAGAGAGAAAGAGGGAGTGGAAGAGAGTGTGGCAGTGCGAGAGAGAGGGAGCGAAGGAGTGCGAGCGCGATGCCGCAGCGTTCGCCATTTGCCATACAAGAGCTGCTCGGCCTGGCCGTTGCGGCAGCAGCCACAACAACAGCCGCTACAGCAGCGGCAGCAGCAACAACAACAACAACAAGTGCCACTAAAGCAACTATAGCAACAACATGCGAAACGGCCACCGATTTAACAACGGCAACAACAAACAATGCACGCGAAACGCCAACGCCGCCAACAACAACAGCAACAACAACAACAACAAATGCAGCGCATTACAACAACAGCAGCAGCGGCAGCTTGGGAGCAGCAACAGCAACAGCAACAACTGCAGCGGCCAGCAGCTTGGCTACCTTGGAGCAGCAACAGCAACAACAACAGCAACATTTTAGGGATCACCAACAGCAACAACAACTAACAATGGCAGCCGCCTCGCGCATGGCGTATTTCAATGCACACGCAGCTGTGGCCGCTGCCTTTATGCCCCATCAGCTGGCCGCTGCAGTGCATCATCATCACCATCATCCGCATTCACATCCGCATTCGCATCCGCATACGCATCACCATCCGCATCATCCACATCAGCATCACACGCAACAGCAGCAGCAGCAGCCGCCTCARCCGCCGCCGCCGTTGCCAGCAGCAATGCCAATGCCACCGCATCACCCGCTGCTGCATGCGCAGGGTAAGCGAAACACCCCAAAAACGAAATCCCCCCCTCACCCGCTACTGTCCCCCTCAGCTGCCGCTGTTACAGTTACAGATCGAATAATCGGCAACTGGTTTTGTCACCTGCACGATACACACACACACACACTCACACGTACACAGAATCATCTATACAAGAGGCGACGAGAGCCGCTTAGTTTGCATAAAAAAGAAATTAATCAACGAGCCCATCAGACACACAGACACACACACGCACACATAGACAACGGCTCAAGCTGCAGCTTTTGAACCACTTCACTCCACCTCCAACTCTCCACTCAAGTTGAGCTGCTAATTGCAATGGCAATTGCTTATATATATGCATGTGTGTGTGTGTGTGTGAAAGAGAAGCAACAAACACTGTCACAGTGGAGCAATCAATTAACGAAAATGCAAATGTAAATTTTAAGAGAATTAGAAATTCACAAAGTTTACAGTTTAATATTTAGCATATTTCATTAAGAAAACTATTTAGACATACGAAAATAAATATAGGGCATATATTAATAGAGCTTATATCAATACAAATCCAAATTTCAATTATTACTACCTATTAATTATGTTAGAGTTAATTATGTTTATTATGTTTAATTTGACTGGCAATAAAATAATCATGCATGATTGTCTGCATGAAAAGCTTAAAAATAAATATGTCTTGCCTCACTGTTAAGCACGACTTTGTCTGCGGATCAGCAACAAAGGGAACACAGCACTAGTGGACGGATGAGCGGGCGAGGCCTTAAGAAACAGAGAGAGAGAGGCAGAGAGAGAGGGAGCGCGAGCTTAAGTCGAGCAAGTGGCAATATTACCGCAGCGAGACGGGCAGCAAAAACAACAACAACAACAAGAACAGCATCAGCAACAACAACAAGAGTAAAGAGCAAGCTGAAGCTCGCACAACGTTTGACTCTCCCACACACTAACATTCTGGCATATACACACACACACACACACACCATATCCATATGTACATGTGTATGCAAGACAGATAATCTGGCTGCTTGAAGTGCCAACTGTTATTGTTGCTGTGGTTGATGCTGTTGTTATTGTTATTATTATTTTAATTAGCGTTGAAATGTCATCGTCATCACTTACCATGTTGTTGTTAGTGTTTCACTGTGCCAAATTGAAGTTCAGCTTGTCGCTAGCCTGCACTCCAGCACTGCTCCCACACACGCACACACACACACGCTGAACGAGCAAAAATAGCGCACGCACTCGCACTCACTCGCACTCGCACTCGCACTCTACACTCTACACTCTGCACTCTACACTTTACACTCTGCCGTCTTCTAGTTACGCTCGCTCTCTTCCTCTCGCTCTTTCTTGCGTCAATCTACATACATTCGAGTTTTGTTTGTTAGAAACTTCCGGGCGATATTTCTTTTGCATTGCTTGCTTTCTCTTTTCTTGATGCATTGTTGTTATTATTATTTGGTTCGTTTATTAATCGTGCATGCATGTGTGTGTGTATGCTTGTCTGTGTGTATGCTTGTGTGTGTGTGTGTGTTTATTTGTATTTATTTATCGCATATTTTCTCTGCTTTGTGCCCTGTTCGCGTAATTTGTTTAATAAATGTGAGAAAGAACTTTTGGCACAGCTTTTGCTGTTGGTAACTGTTATTGTTGCCGCTTTTTTTATTCGCGTCATCTTATTTAATTTTGCATATTGTTGCCTCTGCCGTCGACGTCGCCGTCGCCGACGCCGCTGTTGCTGTTACGTTCTGCTTTGCCAACTCTTCTTTGTGTGCGTGCGTGTTGTGTGTGTGCGTGTGTGTCTGTGTGTGTGTGTGTGTGTGCGTGTTGTTTGTCTCGTTGATTTTTTACACTTTTGTTGATTTTTCCCATTTGCCCCTTTCGTCAATTAAAGTCGCGTCAAGTTTGGGGCCAAAAGCCCAAAACGGATTTCCTGCCACCCAAATGGCGCCTTCACACAACACCACCACCAACACCAGCACCACCCCCTCCCCCTCCCCCTCCCCCTCCCCTTCTCTTCCATGTTCCTTTACACACACTCGACCTCGCGGCAAACGGTCACACTCAGCTGGGCCATTAAGTGCCTTTGATCTTTTACACAGACAGACGGAAGCAAGGCAAAACCAAAAGCCAAATTGCCAAATTGGTAACGTACACCGCAAGCCATTTATCTATATACACTCTCTATGTGTATGTATGTGTGCACAGAAATGTATTTTCTTCATTTTTTTTTTTTTAATATTTTAATTGACAATTTTCACTTTGGCTCTTGTCGCTTTGTTGTGACAGTTGTTTTGATGTATTTACACACACACACACACGTAGAAACACACGCACACACACACTCTTGTGCTATTGCAAATTGATAGCGCGAAGATTTTGTGTGCCGCATTTTTAGCTTTGAAGCGCCATCTGCTGGGCATCGGCGGGGTCACGTCCCCAAATTCCTTTTGGCAAATTACATTTTGGCTTAAATTAACCATTTTCATATGTTTCCTTTGAGTATATTCTCTTTCGAGGCGCTTGCGAAACATATGAGAAAAATATATGAAAAATATGAGCTACTAAATAAATAATTTAAGAGTTGTTGCAAATGAAAGCAAATAAGAATTATATAAATATATAAATACAATACTAAATTTCTGGTAATAGTCAGTTAAAAAATATTCGATACATTCACTTAGTTTATTCCATTTTTTGTTCCTTATTACAAAGTATTCATACATATACAATTAGTATTTACTTTTATTTGTTCAGCCCTTAGTACAGAAATATATTAGATGTTTTAGAGTCTTCTACTAAAATTTAGATACAGTCCCACTCAACTATCTTTTACTTGATATTATGAATAATGCATATATACACTAAACACCATATATATGTATATATAAGGTCATATCATACATTGTACGTATATATATACCAAAATAGTCTGCTTAAGTTACCCTTTACCCTTTCTTCTATATCACAAAAAAAAAAAAAATAGTTTAATTATATAAAAACTTAAA